ATATCATTAATTTCAAACAACTATAGATTGTATAGGTAGAAAACAAATCGGGTTGCATTTTAATATCACTTAAATTTGTTTGGTTTTACAACTTGATTTTCCTATAAAGTATATCTGCCAGGGTTTTATATATGCCTACGGCATATCCTACCCAGCTGTTCTTCGTTATTATAATATATTTTTTTTTAATTTTTAAAAATTAATAAATATGTTTATACACCCTGCACTAATTGGCTCTCAATGAAAGCGTTTTTTGTTTACCTTGTTTGTGCACACATACTTATGTATGTATTTACATACACATGTCTGTATGTACATATATAGCGAAGCTATTTATTTTTAATATTTTTGTACATATCTATATATTATATTGTTTATGTGTATTTGCCAATTCACGCTCTAATTTTTAATGCTTTTTAAAACAAATATTTTTTAGGCTTTGCCGCTTCACTAATATATAATTATATATTTTTTTTGGATAATTGCTTTAATGTTTGTTGTGCTCGACTAATCATTTTTTGTATCACTAATTTTCCATGCATCGACATTTAAGTTTTTCTTTTTGCCCTATTTTTTTTTTCTGGCATTGGTTTAACCGAACCGTTCGTTTTCCTGCCCGCCCACCCCTCTTTACATCCGTTAACCGTTTATTGTTAAGTTTTGTTACGAATTTTCCTATATTTTTTTTTCTTATTTGTTTTATTTTTTTTTTCATGTTCGGTTAATTTAACTTTTCGTTGCATTGTGTCCAGTCTCAAAAGTAATGCTATTGATTTTCGTTCTTCTTTTCTTTTGTTTTTTTTTCTTTTCTCGTTTTATTTTCATATGTTGTATGGCTGACCAACCCTCTCTTCACACAAAAACCAACAACAACAACAACAACTACAACATATATGCACCTACAACAAATACACAAAATATAATGTTAACAAAAAAAAAAATCGAATATAAAATCGAAAACAAAAACCAGATTTGAGTATTACGCGCATTGCGGGACTCACCTGGAACGAGTGGAACGCTCGCCTGGCCATGCCGCTGGTAACGCTGCGCGAGGGCGTCCAGCCCTTGGTCTTTCCCACCGATCTGTCGGTGGACAAGCAGCTGAGCATGGCTGGCATCAAGGGCGCCGCCGCCGCGGATGCCATTGACCGGAAAACGCCCACGGATAGCATTCGTTTAAAAATCGAACCGGGCACCACATCAACGCCGTGCAACACTAGCGAAAAGCAGCACAAAATTTATCCCGGCGGTGGCAAGCTGAAGCACCTATCCGAGGAGGAGGCCACCGCGCTGATGCTCAAGGCCGTTGCAGAGAAACAGGCGGCAGCAGCAGCGGGCAACAGCAGCGCCGATCTGAGCTATGGCGAGGAGAATCTGAGCTCTGTTGGCGGCAATGGCAACAGCAGCAGCAGCGATTATCCGATTACGCTGACCGGTGCCGTATCCCTGGCCGATGTCGGACCGGCTGGACTATGCCATATCAATATATTGAATAGCATTAGCGCCATGAACAATCTCATCAGCGGCAGCACAGCTGGAGCTGGCAGCAGCACGGGTGCTGGCAGTGGCAGTAATCTGAGCGTCACATTGAGCGCCGCCGGAGTCGGCAGCGGCGGCGGCGGCGGCAGCAGCAGCAACAATAGCTCCCTGGCTGGCGCTGACAACGGTGCTGGACACCCATGTCCCGTTTGCGGACGCGTCTATAAGCTGAAATCATCGCTGCGGAATCATCAGAAATGGGAATGCGGCAAGGAGCCGCAATTCCAGTGCCCCTTCTGCGTCTATCGGGCCAAGCAAAAGATGCACATTGGCCGCCACATGGAGCGCATGCACAAGGAGAAATTCAAGCTGGAGGATGACAAGAGTTTCATCAGCGGCATCATCAATGCCAGCGGCGGCGCCTCCAGTGTCAGCGGCATGGACGCTGACGCTGCCGTTGGCAGCGCTGCGGCTGCGGTGGCAGCAGCTGCTGCGGCCGCGGCGCTGGCCAATGCGCCGGAGCTGCACACGCATTTCTCATGAGTGGGAAATTTGGGAAATGGAAAACGCATTGGGAAATGGATTTGTGTATAAAAAGCGTTAAAGTTGGACAAAGACACACAGTTATTAAATGGAAAAACTAAATATCAGGGATTACAGAAACAAAACAAGCAAGAAATATTGAAATTACATAAAAAGAAAAAAAACACACTCGCACATGTGTGTGTATTTGTGTGTGTGTGTGTGACAGTAGTCAAACAACAACAAAACAACAACAAGAACATAACAACACACCTAGCTCGGGGTTTCTCTTATGGAATACGGAATCAGTGTGCCAAATTAATCTTAAAAAAAAAAAAACAACAAAAGTTAAAGAAAACCTAACAAAGCAAAAAAAAATAATAATAATTAATAAGAATGCCTGGAAAATTGTAAAAATTTTCATCACGAAAAAAAAAAAACAAAACAAAAGACAAACAAAACAATTTGTTGCAAAGCACAAACAAAACGAAACAAAACAAATTTAGCCATTTTATTTTTTTGCATAAAACATATTTTTTGTTATTGTTATTAATTTTTTAACAAAAAAAAAAGTCAAGTGCACAAGCAAAAATCTTTTTTGAAAAAATATTTTTGTTACATTAAACAGCAAAGTGATCAGTAAAATGATTTTACACACAAAAAAAAAACACAATTTAAAACCGCATTCCACAAGTTACAAAAAACAAAAAAAAAACAAAAACAAATAAAAGACACATATTGTACAATGAAACATTAAATTAGTTAGCTAAGAGTTAGGTTTAGCTGAGATATACATATAATATATATAGGAAATAGGGTTTAAAACGAACGCGGTGCGAGCAGTCAACTCAGTGGATAGTCTTTTTTATATAAAGCTTTTCGAACTCAGAGCATATTAAGATATTAGTTAAAGGAAACAAACAAGAAACAAGAAAGGAAACTTTAATGAGCTATAGAGCATTAGATATTCACATAAACATTTCAGTGCCAAAACCAACTATAAAGAAGATACCTAAAACAAACAGTTAACAAACAGTACAGTTACAATTACAATTCATAAAACATAAACAACAACAACAACAACAAGTTACCTCAGATAAACAACAACAAAAAACATATATTAGTCTAATGGCTTTAAACTATGCTCAAAAATTGCTTAGTTGTTTTTTTTTTCTAAATACAGTTTAGTCAAGCAAAAGCGAAAAGAAAAACTTAAAGACAAGTTTAAAAGTGCCTTTTGAAATTGAAAATATATTTTCAAATAAAAAAAGAAAACAGTATGTGCTTATTAAAAGATATACACTAGAAGAAAAAAAAATAAAAATAATAATAAACAAAATCTAACACTTAAAAGCCATATCAGTTAGTTGTAAGCTGTATCTTAGGTCAAGTCAGCTAACAAATGTGTCAAGTATAATATTACTATTAATACTATATACTATTCCATTTTTTTTTTTGCGATACACACATGATACACGTTTAAACTCAGGTACTTAGTTTTGTGTTTCACAATTAGGCAGGAAACCAAGAGAAAACAGGCGCGCGCGTAGCTGAGCTACGTCGAGGGTTTGGCCCAAAACAAATTGAAAACAAAATAAATAATAATAATATTTTAAAATATATAACAACTACAAGCAAACAAAAACACCGCCACAATACGTCACATGCACTTATTTATTTTTAATATTTATAAAAAATATATATATACATATGTATATATATATTAAAATTATATATTATAATTTTTACGTTCTTTTTTGCTAGTAAAGCGTAATTTATTTTTAGTTTTCACTTTACAACTTTATATTCTATTAAAAAAAAAACAAAACAAACAAACTACAAAAAGCAAATACATTCCATAGATGATTTTATAAACAATTAAGCTTAAACAAAACAAAACAAAACAAAACAAAAACAAAAAACAACTGCAAACATTCACAGCAACAGCGAAAAAAAAACACACACACATTGCCAGTCAAACTGTGCACTGAAAAACTAATATATAAAATGAATTAAATTTACAACAAATAAATCTCGAATTGTAATTATATATTTTGCTAATTTTCTGCTATTAAGAAAATACAACCAATTGGTTATATTCAAGCGGTGTTGGGGCTAAGTTTAGCGCTTCTTTATAAAATGAAGAATAAAAAATAAGGCAATAATTTTTAAAGATAACAAAAACGCAACAGTTAAGGCAAAGTGAAAATTCAAAATTTTCTAAAAAAAAAAAAACATACAATTGATATATACTTCAAGTTAAACAATATTGTTGAACAATTTTTGGTTAAAAACTGGCACACGAAAAATGTTAATACACATTTAAAAAAATAAAATAAATAAAATAAAATGTAATATTTTATGTTAATGAAGCAAACACTTAATAAGAACACAAATACTCATTACCAATAAAAGAAAGTATAATAACGGTTCTATATAGTTAACACTATATACATATATTATCTATTATATATTATACCTTATATTTAATTTTTTCAATGCGTCGTTTGTAAACATTTTTGTAAATTGATATATACATAATATATATATATGTATTAAAAAACAAAAAAAAAAACAATACAATCAATGTGAGAATTATACAAGTTCATGTAATAAAACGCAAAAAGACAGAAACTTGTTTGTTATGCTGCGTTTAAATTATTCTGTTATTATTATGATTATTATTATGACTTTTATTATCATTATGATTATTATTATCAACACATTTATTTTATTTGATTTTCTTATGCAGCCCTTAGTTTATGTAGCGTACTGCTTGTAAGTATTCATATTTATTTATTTCATAACATTTATATTTTCTTTTAAATAAAACCAATTCATAAGATAGTTCAACTGAACATAATATAAATAGGGCACATTTTTAGGCACACATACGCAAAAAAAAAAAGAAAAGAAAAACATTTTTAGGCCACATTCGATACCCTGTTCACTTGTGACTCTCACTAATATGTGCATATTTTGTATATACATTTTTACAGATGACAATGGACAGCTGGACTCGGGCGAATCTCGTATACGCGTGCGCAATTGGCTCATGTTGGCGGATCAGTCGATCATAGACAAGACTAGCGACGAGTCTACAGGTATTTAAACCAGTTTTCCAGTCCATATAACATAACTTTTGATTGAATTTATACATATATATATATAATTTTTTTTATCAACTAATTGGAGCCTTGCAGAGTGTATTATAAATAAGTAATCCCTTTAAAGGTAATTTGTTCCGACTCTATAGTTTCTATGAATATGCCATGTCCGTGTGTTTGTCTGTATTTATACAGTAAAATTTTCCAATTGTCTGACTATATTAGGAAATGATTTCGAGAGATAGATTTGAAGACTTAAAGAAGCTAATAATCAAAGTAGAAAAAAAAATTATATTCTTAAAATCATGAAAAAGGAACTATCTCTTTTTACTTCCTCCAATTAAATATACGTTCGTCTAGAACAACTTAATATAGTTCTCTGATTCTTTATTATATTTTTTTGCAAACTCTGCCAGGTTGTTCAATCTTCGGCTTGCCGCTGTCAATCCATTATGTTGTTCTTGTTATTTTCCAGTAACTTTTTTTTTCCTAATAATGTTTCGTTTTCTTTTTACAGTCTTAATTTTGCATTACAATTTACATTTTGTTTTGTAACGGCCACACTGCGGCAAATACACATATCATTTTGTTTTACAAAAATATTTTCACACACATATCTTCAAAATAATAAAAAACTAACCTAACATTTCCCTAATACAATTTCTATTTTCATGCGCCAAAAAAAAAAAAAAAAATCCAAATTATAACAAATCCAAAAACCATTGCTAACACTTTCCAAAAAACTAACATAACTAAAAAAAAACAAAAAACAAAAAACGAAAATAAAGATAAACTAACTCCGAGCAAAAAGCCAAACATAAACGCTGCTAAAAACACTAACAATGCCAATGCAAAGCCACCCACGACACCTGCAACAATCAGCACAACGCCGCCGGCGACGAGAACGCTCAACAACAGCAGCAACAACAGCAATAGCAACAACAACACAAACAACAACAGCAACAACAACAATGTTGTTGGCGAAAAGACAACCGGCAGCTGTTTACCCGTGCTGGACCCAAAGACGCAAACGGTGACTCGAATTGGCAGCATCGGACGCACAACGATTGCGTGCATCACGCCGGCGAGCCTGAAGAATAGCGCTAGCAACTGCAATGTGGATGCCGCATCGGCTGCGGCGCTGGCCGCTGCAGGCGTTGAGCTGGACAGCATTGATGATTCGATGACCGAGGTGATAGTGAAGATTGAGAATCCGGAGAATGTGTCGCTCAATGGCGACGAGGCTGTGTGCAATGAGGCTATCGATGATGAGAATACATTCGATTATGATCTGAAGATGGCCAGTCCATTGTCCTGGACCTATGATGCGGTCAAGATTGAGAACGAGGAGTTCGAGGATAGCTATTTAATGGATAACGATGATGACGACGACGATCTGTTGACCACCGCAGCGGCCACACAGAAGCATGCCAAGCAATCAAACGACAAGCAAAGAAACGGCAGCAACAGCAGCAACAACAACAACAGCAGCAACAAGATTGTGCTCAGCACACAGCAACAGCAGCAACTGTTGCTGGAGCAACAGCAGCACTTGCAGCATCTGCAGCTGCAGCCCACCAGCCAATCGCTGCAGATCAAGCTGCCCACCATACCGGCGACCATAACCACCATCGCAGCACCACAAAAACAGCCGATAGCCAGCACCAGCGGTGGTGCGAACATAACCACCGCCAATTCAACGCTGCTGTCCAGTAAGCTGGGCCTCAATATGGACGCACAGAATCTGAATTTGCACTGGTCGCACACGGATGACAATCGCTATCGGATTCTGGTGCAGAATAAGCGCATGCGCAAGGAGTCGCTGGAGCATTCGGCGGACATGATCTATAATGCGGACATTGAGAAGCCGTGGGTGTGCCGCAACTGCAATCGCACCTACAAATGGAAGAACAGCCTCAAGTGTCATCTGAAGAACGAGTGCGGCCTGCCGCCCCGCTACTTCTGCAGCAAGATGTGCGGCTATGCGACGAATGTGCACAGCAATCTGAAGCGTCATCTCAATACCAAGTGCCGTGATCGCGAGAAGGAGGAGGAGGAGAAGGAGAAGGAGAAGGAAAAGGAGAAGGAGAAGGAGCGAAAGCTGGCACCAGCTCCAGTCAATGCAATCGCCAACAGCAGCAGCAATATTGTCGGCGGCAACAACAATGCCAACAGCAACAACAACAGCAACAACAACAACAACAACAGCAGCAACAGCAGCACCTACACACTGGTCTTTCAAAATGAATAGTGGCTCCAGGCAAACAATATAAATGTTGTACAAATAAGCTATGGGAACTGGCAACTGGTAAATGGTAACTGGATCTGGTGGCAACCAATAAGCAACAACCAGAACTTAACTTAGTAAAAATTAAGTTTTTTTTTGTACAATATTGTTTTTTTTTATTATTTTTGTCTCTAACAAGCACGTGTGCAATGTTTGTTGCTGCCACTCCAAAAAAGGAGCAGCACGGAATCTGTCATAAGTTGTTCCTTTTTTTATAACATCTTTTTCGAACAAACTTTTTTGTTGCATGCCCCACGCACGCTGTGCCATCAAGTTGCAGAGGAACCCCCAAAAAAAAAAGAAAACACAACTAAATTAAAAGAGACAAAAATTAGTTTTAGTTGGCAATACAAAACGTTAATTTTTGTATTGTTTTAGCGAATTCTCAAAAGAAAAACTAAAAAAAAACAACTTAAAAGAAAAACAAAAAAAAAAAAAAGAAAGCAAATAAGAAATGTGTACATTTTTTTCCGAGAAAAATCTCACACAAAACGCAAGAAATTATATAACTAGTCACAGCAAAAATTGTTTAAGTGTGCTATACAACATAAACAAAAAGAAAAACAAAAGATTTTTGTATTAATTATTAATTTTAAATAAAACTAAAACAAACCAAAAATCATATGCATGGCATGAAGACGCGCCCTCCCCAAACAAAAAAACGAACACCAAAAACAAAAAAACAAAAAAAAAAGATTATATGACACTCACACATACATAGATACATAATACATAACTATATCTGTGTACATTTAAATAAAAAACCATTTACAATATTGGTTTTCACTTAGTTGCAATCGAATTTTTCTCATACATTCCATCTTTTGGTTAGAAACATTTTCAACTACAACCAATTTTTGGGCATTAACTATGTTAGAATTGCTTTATATATACATATATATACACATATATGATAATGAGAACAAGTTCTAGTCAAAACAAAAGGATATGATTATATTATAATAATAATACGTATTAATAATAAATAATATCTATACAAATAATTTGAAAATTAGACAAAAATTATTATGATTAATTCTAAAATAATGTTTTAATTTTTAATTCGAAAATATCAGCGAATGCTTTTCTAAAAATGTCGAACAAAAAAAAAATACACAAATTGTTAGATTTAAAAAAGAAAAACAACAACAACAAACACAACTAAACCCGGCCATACAAAAAAAAAAGCAACAAACAATTTTCATATGTAAAAAGCAAAAGAAAATTAAAATTGGCTGAAAAAATCTCAAAAATATAATAAACTACATCTAAGACCCTACACACACACACACACACATGCACACACAAACAAACACACATGCAAAATGCGAAAAAATTCTACAATTATTATGTATTCCATATGAAATGAATATATCGTAATTATTGCCGGCTATATGTATTAAATAAAAATTCGAAATACAATTAAAAGCAAATGTCAGAACAAAAAATAACCAAAAACCAAAGTTGTATTTATTTTAATTGTAAAACAAAACCAAAAAAAAAACCAACCTTTTACAATTTTTTTCCCCCCAGTCATCAAAACTCATCCATCATGAATCCAATCTCTTGTATATGCCTATATACAACACATGCTCCCAACACATTTCCAAGCGATCCCAAAAACAAAACCTCAAAGATCCCAAGAAAATCTTCCAGCTATATATACACACACATATATTACGAGTTGTTCTCTTTCTTGCCAAGAATCAATACTAATCAGCTCTCTATTTCAGGTGGATGTTGTCCGAATTGATGTTGATTGAGATCGATGAAAGTATATATCTCTGTGCTGGCACAACAAATCCATACAAGAATGCAGTTTATGGTGTAGACCTCTCTAATTGTTGTTTGCATGCTCTCTTAACCTACTATACTACAACTCTACATAACTAGAACCAGAGTATCTGCTGCTTAGATATCCTATAAACCAACCTATTAAATCAACTATTAGATACGTATGTGTATGTACATGTTTTATAAAGACAACGTGACAATCACCCCCCCTCCCAAGGGGGGCGCCCCCTCGATATTGATGATGCTGTTAAATAACTAGTACATGAACATATTACTTATATATATTATATATATTTATACATATGACTCTTAACTTTGTATGAATACCTCTTTATTAGAATTTGTAGATTTGTTTTCTCTTTTTTACATATACCATTCGTTTGTATTGCTGCAGGTTATTCTTAAGTTTCACTTTTGTGCTCATTCTAGTGTCGTAACGTACCAACTATCTATCTATATACTATCTATTTAAATATATACATCCTTTAATATAAATAGCCTTAAATTATTTATACATTTATATATCGAAAAAAAAAAACCAAAACTATGATGAAAGCAACAACTTTGTTTGTAAAAACAAATTGTTTTTATAAATATTGCATTTTCTACCAACATTTTTTTTTTTTAATTTTAGATATTACTTTCATTATTATTTGTAGCTTCTATTATTTTTCAAAACAAAAAAAAAAAGAAGAAAATATCGTAAACTTATGCATGCGTATTTTTTTATAACGAACTTTGTCTAGAATTGCTCCTCTATAAATATAAATATATATATATATATATATATATATGTGTGTGGAGCAGCTCGTGTATCTATGGATTTATAAGAATTCTTCTAAGTCTGAAAGCGTTGCGTCCCCTCTTAAGCACACATACATTTATACAATTAGTAACCAAATTGTGTGTTTTATCTATAATAATATATATTCTTATTTATATATTTGTGACTAACACAGAAAACTATAAAAAAAAAACAATATTGAAATTCATTTGGATAAAAAAAAAACAAATCACTTGTAATATTTTTTTGCTTAGCTCAATTTGTACTCAATGTAACTTACACTCGATTTAATGTTGTTTACACACACACACACATTTTATACTTATATTCATTGTGTTTATTAAATTTTGTTATTTTTATTATTATTATTTGATATATCAAACTCTTAAGCAGCGTTTTACACAATTTATATACATATATCGTAAACATCTCAACATTTTACTTTAGATACAAGCAGCGCCTACTCACGCACACACACACATACCACACACACTTACACGAACACACACACCAAACACCACACACCACACACACACACAACTATCACAATGCACCAACAACAAAAATCACTAAAAGTTAAAAGAAACGCAACATTTATAACGACTTCACGGTAATAAATTCTATTTATATATATATTTTTTTTTGGTTCAACTACGTTTCCAATTAGATCTTAGGATTTATGATTTTTCTATCTCTGAAAAAAAAAAAAGAAATATCCTATATGCATTTTTGCGCCCAGAATTTCGTTAAATTATAGCTCTTGACTAACATTGCATTTTCTTTGACTCTTTGTCTTGCTCATCTGCAGAATTTGCGCATTGCGGCCAGGAAGCCAGGCCGGGCAGCCCGCAGACGTCCCCGACGCATCCATATTATCCGCTGCTGCACATGAAGACCAGTCCGTATACCAGTCCCATTGCCACGCCCAATCAAATTATCAAATTCGAGCATGCTGGAATCATGGATGATAATGAGCATGAGCTGCGCATTGATAGCGGCCGTGCCACGCCCACGCACTGTACACTGCACGGCCATGGGCATGGTCATGGGCGTCACGGGAATAATGGCGACAACGATGACAGCAATAACAACAACAACGAGGATGATGAGGACGACGACGACGACGATAACGGCGATAAGCCCTTTGATCTGCGCATGGGCATTGCCAAAGTGCTGGTAGCTGCCGCCCAGGTGCACGGTGCCCTGCCGCTGGGCCATCATCCCCATCATCCACATCAGCAGCAGCACCACCACCAACAACAGCACACACGTCCGCTGGCCCAGCTAATGCAGCAGTCCAGCCCCGACGAACCGCTGCGCCGCTACAGCAGCAGCAGCAGCGTCGGCATCGCGCCCACAACGCTGCCCAGCAACAGCAGCAGCAGCCTGGTGGCTGCTGCAGTCGCTGCTGTGGCAGCCAACAATACAAGTGCCTCGACGAGCGGCGGTGCCTCGACATCGGCTGCAGCTGCAGCGGCCGCAGCGGTAGCGGCAGGTCTCGTCACGCCCAATGCCACACTTGGCGCTGCCGGTCCATCGGGTGGCGGCAGCTGGAGCAGCGCCGGTGGCAGCGGTGGTGGCGGCGGCGGCGGCGGCGGCGGCGGTGGTGGTGGTGGTGGTGGTGCCTATGCCTGCGATCGTTGCGGCAACACATACGCCCGTCCGCACAGCCTGAATCGGCATGTGCGTTTCGAGTGCGGCGTGGAGCCGCAATTCGAGTGCCCCATCTGCCACAAGAAGTCCAAGCACAAACACAATCTCGTGCTGCACATGCGCACGCACCAACATCGATGATACAATCAACAACAATTGCAAGAACGTCAGCAACTGGTTGCTGCCGTTGCTACTGCTGCTGCTGCCTCCACTGTTGCTGCTGCTGCTGTTGTCACTAGTTAGTTAGCCGTGTTTCTAGGCAGCACTTTCCGGATTCAGTCCAGTTCAGTTCAGTCCAAAAACAACATAGGAAGAAAGAAGCAAAACAGTGCGCGGTTTTTTTTTTCAAATGATCTTGAAAACATATAGTCGTTTTTTTTTTTAAATCTATAAATATATATATATATATACAGTATATGATATATGTATATATAAACAACTACATACAGAGCATGCATAAAAGCCGTCAAATGTGAAAATTTATCAAATTCTAACTTTTAGTTTCCACATATATATCAAATTATTTTCTTCTCTGTTTAATTTTTCCCTTATTTTGATTTTCACATATAATATTTGATATATCGGTATATATCGGGGGGCGCGTGAGAGTGCGAATCATGTTGCATGGTTTTATATTTGTTCTTGTTGTTGTTGTTGTTGTTGTTGTAGTTGCTATTGTTAAAATGTGTGTAACATCCTTAGAAAACTCAATGATCTCAATGAATTTTTCTTTATTGTGGTGTAACAGAAAAGAGGAAAAATTAATGCATTTTTTTGTGTAGAAAGAAAACAAAAACAGATAGAGGAAGGAAGGAAGGAAGGAAGGAAGGAAAAGGAAACGCAGCAAAACGCAAAACATTCACATTAATTTTAACGTATTTTATTTATTATATACAAAACATAAAAACAAACAAAAAAAAGAACAACAAAAAACGCAAAAACAACACTGAGAAGGGGCGAGGAGGGCAGGGGAGGAGCAGAGAGTGAGGTAAGGTGAGGTGAGGTGAGGTGAGGTGATTTATAGTTAGCTCAAAGAACTGTTCGATTGTGACTCTCACGCGCTTGCAATTCACTTATATGATTATTATTTTTTTTATTATTAATATCTTTCTTTTGGGGCAATAGTTAAACTTAATAAACTTAAACAACCATTTTGCATATATGTTTATGTATATAATGTAAAAAACACACACGAAACTTCGGCACATACAAATATGTATGTATTGAAATAGCAACAGTCAATCGCTTAGTCAGTCAAACTAAAAGTTAGCAACTAAGTTAGTTTTAGCTTTAAGGCAACGATAAAGCGTAACTAAATCTAAATGGACATGTGCAATAAGCTAAAAATCACAGACAGCAACAAAAACAACACACTAAAAAAAATAACGAAAAATTAAAACCACAAAAAAAAACAACAAAAGCTAAATAACTCGTGCAATAAGCTTAAAGAAAATCCCAAAATCAGAAACCAATGTAATGAAAAAAAAAAAAAAACAGCGCACAACCAAGTTGTAATTTTGATTTTCTTTTTATAAATATTTTTTTTGTTTAATTTTCGATTTATTCACTTTATAATTTTTTGTTAAATGCGCGCCGCCAAAGCCACAAAAAGAAAACAAAAAACAAGAAAAAAACAAACAAAAACAATTATTGTTAGTGCAACGCAACGATCTCTTAAACAACTTTTCTAAAACACAAAACAACAAATTTATTAATTTATCTTGTGCTCATTCCATGAAAAAAACAAAAACAAAATTATTCGTTTATTTAAAAAAAAAAAATTATATTATTTATTCTATGACGAACACAAAATGTGATAGGCGGCAATTTTAGTTGGACCAAAAACGAAACAAAAACAAACAACAAAAAAATGCTAAACAAAATTATTAATTTATAAAAGCAAAAAAAAAAAAGTTTGGCTTGTGGCTTTGCGTAAAAGGCGCGTGCAATCAATTAAAACAGTTATTAACAATATATATATATATTATTATTAAAAACAAAA